GTCTTGATTTCTCTTAAATGTTTCAGTACAACATGTAGAACGCAGACGACACATCCATTAAAAATGAAGTTCTACGATAAAAACTAAAAACATAAAGAACAAAAAAGGCTTCTTATAACAGCAATTGCTGAACTGAAAAATAGATATAGTCATCATCAACAGCAAAATTACTATAATGCGCATAATCCAAACTATGGGAGAGAGGGTATTCTTTTGTTTTTCTTTTATTTTTCTTAAAAAATATATACTCATCACATGACAGAGGAGCCTACCATCTCAGGACACAGACATGCTCCGTGTCTCTCGTAGACTCTGAGGGGAGGGGGCACATCGTACGGCACTGGAAACTGACCACGACAAATAAAAAATGGCAACTCTGGCTGAAAACACGTTGAGCTGTTGGGGTTTAAAAAAAAAAAACGTCAGAGAGGGGGCAAAGGCTTAAGACCTCACATGCACTACTGACAGAGCAGCTCAACATTAAAGGGAAGAAAATAAAACAGCATCTACTACCACTGTTCTACTCGAGAAAAACTAGCAGACTGTAACAATCACCTCTTACTTAAACTTTTTATTTTTCTCTCCATCAGCCAGTAAAACTGAGGTTGAAGCACTTTTACAGTCTGAAATTGTGCTGGATTTAATTGCGACATGACAATAATGAAAAGAAAGATGTTTTTAAAGCCTGAGTGTTCAGTGACGTTACTGAACCTGCTGAATTTGGATCCAATCACTTCCTGTGGGGCAATTTTTTCTTTTTTTTTTTTCTTTTTAAACTGCTACGTCTTCACTAACGCTCTAGTCAAAAGAGTGTGTACAGGTATCAGGAATATCTGTACAAAATAAAATAAAAATAAAAAGGGTATGCACGGTACATTCAATATCTGTTAATGAGGTACTAGGAAGGTGTTTCCCCTTTGACACCCGGGGGTGTGGGGGTGGGCAACAGCGTTTCAGAGTGAACTCCTGGGGACAGATCCTTTGGAACGACGACAGCTTGTTTTCACAACAGAGTTGAAGGAGACAAAACGAACACATCACTGTCTTTAATGAAGCCAGCATGCAGGAACGCCTGTGTGCTTGCTCCGAACAGGGGGAATCGAACCCGTACTGTCCCCCTCACACCTGAAGGAACGGCACACTGGTTCATGAGTTGATGAGGGAGGGGGTGGGGGGCATGAGAGGAGGGGTTGTGGTGGTGTAGGATGTGTGGTTGCAGGGTGGTGAGATCTTATTAAACTATACAGCCGCAGGTCGATCACTTTCTGTTAAACTTTGTTTTTCTTCTGTCTACAACTGAGCAGCCAGACGACGCCCTCTGCTGGCTTTAAAGGTTTCAGCAAGGCAGAAAAACCAATGAGGGGTGGGACTCCTTGAGTGGGTGGGTGGGTGGGGGGGTGACTGCCTTAAAACTAGAAACACTCATCTGTAAGTGCAGATAATTTGGGTTTCTTTCCATAAATGACCTAACACTCGAGCAGGCTTTGAACTGAGTGGGTAACACGCTTCACAGTTAGAAAAACACTTCACACTGACTGCACCTATGGGGGTCTCTGCTGAGCGAGCTTCCAACAGTGTCAGGGGTGGGGAAAGATGAGGGCCTGGTGGGCTGGGTGGGGTTAGTCTGTGAGGTTTTACGTCGGTACGCACTTTCCCCCATCGTAAGACAAGCAAAGAGAAACAGGGGGAACAAACAAAACAAAACAAAACAAAATAAAAATAAAAAGAGGAGAGCTGTAACACGAGTCATTAATGTACAATACGGAGCTTCAACCCTTCTGTCTCTGCGAGTCAGCAGACTGAAGCCTCATGTCAGGAAAAAAAAAGCATTTTCTTTTTAAACAAAAACAAACAGAAACACCTAGAACCACAAAAGATCAACTTTCCATTAAAACAACAGCCAACTAAGGAACTAAACCAATCCAATCACTGAATCCTTGAGAACACAGTTATTGCTGACGTAGTGGAGGGAGGGGGTGTGTGTGTGTGTGTGAGATGGAGATGGGAGGTGGGATAGGGCTAGCTGTGAATAGGTCACTCCTGGGCTGGTTGTGTGTGATCAGAGGAAAGGACTGCAGATCCACGATGGGTCAGAACTGGTGCTTCCGGTTCACAGGAAGGTCAGGTCGTGTCTGATCCTGGGAGGAGGTGGATGGTGGTGGGGTTTGGTTTCCAGAGACGACGGAATGTGCTGGCGCCGGCAGAGGGGGGCTATTGGTCGGAGGGGATGTCTCTGTCGGCCTCAGCCTTGGTGGGCTGCCCTGGGGACGGGGCATGAGGAGGGTGGGACACGGGGGCAATGGCGTGCGCCAGGGTTCCTGGAACCAGGCTCTCGACGGCGGCGCCTGCTCCTGGCAGCCCCGCTGCCGCTGCGACGTTGATCAGACCGGGGGGGAATCTGAAAACGGAAGCAGAGGGCTCGTGTGAAGAGCTGCTGAGGACCTGGGTTTAACCTGGCCCTCATTAATCCTCCCCCCTCACCTGTAGGTGGCTCCGTTAAGTTCTGGATGAACAGTAGCTGCCTCCATGCTGGGCCACTGAGAGGCGGCCATCAGATACTCCTTATTAACACAGTTCTTCAGGCTGTCTGGGATACGACCTGAAGCAAAGCAAACAGACCATCAGTCCTCTGCAGAGGTTTAGATAGTTCCATCATATCTGCAAACAGGTCTAATGAGAGCATTCAGAGCACAGCTGGATATTTTTACAACCATGATTTAAATATCCATCATCCTGTTCTCACTAAACACAGGCAGTGGTGTATTTGTTGGTTGGTTTGTCCGTTGGCAAAATATCCCACGAACCAGAGGATGGATTTTACTGAACGTCACCACCAGATTTACATCTTCAGATAAATAACCTTTGGAGTCAACATTAAGGAAGCAGAAATGGCTTCAACTCAAAATAAAATATGGTGTGGTAGTAGCTGAGTGTCATTTCCATCACATAAACTGAACAGTTCAGGTTACTTTATTCATGCCCTTGGTAGGGATGGGTACTGAATTCGACACATTTTTTTTAAGTACAGACCGAATTCTGTCTGTACTACCAAGAACCTATTCACGTAACATTAAACGGTACCATGTTTCGGTACCTAAACGCATCACTTCGAAAGGTTTGGTGTAAGAGTGTTGAGTTTTCCATGCTTGTCCTGAATGCAGCACTGCGCAGGAGCGTAACGATATCAGCAGCTGCTGGTTCAGTAAACAGAGCTGACTGAACTTAACTTGAAAGCCTCGCAGCTCCTGGAGTAAAACTCACCGAACAGACCGCCTCTGAATTATCTGGTGGATTAATTATCTTGTGAGCACGACATTCTCTTGCTCAAAATAAATAAAGTACCACCACTTTGTTTCATCCACCATTAAACAGAGACCGGCAGAGGAAAACAACAGAAGAGCTTCCCGACAGTCCGAACACGTCTGACCTAAAGAGCACAAGCAGCCAGCTTGAAGTGTTGGAGCGTTTTGGATGCTCAAAACGTAGTTTGAATACCTTTTTATTTATTTAACTCCATCCTCTTTTGCTTATTTGATTTAAACTTATTTGCCTTCCATGGACCTCCATCACACAATTTTTCTAGCTGGGAAATGACGTCAATAGAAACACGTGGAGCTGGATTTTAATTTGTGCAATAAGYCAAAACAGTCTTGTTGTTTTCAAGAGTTTTCACTTTAAAGAAATTAATTAAACAACTGATGTTACAATACAAAGAGTTGGATGTTGTCTTGATATTTGTTATATTTTATATATTGAGAAATATGTTTAAAAAGTTTACTATTAAAAAAACAACACACACAAAGTACCGAAAATTGGTACCCTTAAGTACCGGTACCAATTAACCAGGTACCAGATATTGGTCCCGAATAGATTCAGATGTCAAAGGTACCCATCCCTAGCCCTTGGGCAAAGTTGCTTTGCAGTGAATTTCCCTCCATACATTCATCCATACACAACCACAGAGTGGCACAAAGATAACATACAAAAACAGCTTGCTAGAAGAGTGCTCAAGACTTCACTGATAAAAAAATAAAAAAAATAAAAACAAACAGCTTAATCGAACAGGGCAATTTAAATTACAGCTTATTTAATTTGATGATAGCTGCAGGAACAAAGTTGCTTCTATAACATTTTGTTTTACATTTAGGGACTCAGTAGCTCCTCTCAGGGGGAAGTGACTATAACTCACCCTGTAAGGGATGGGAGTCATCCTCTAAAACAAAACAAGCTATCCTCTGTAGCTGCCTTTAATACAGGGAAGATGGAGAAAGCTGAGATTTGCCCATCAGTCGAGAGGACCATATAACTATTTAGTTTAAAGAATTTCATCCCTAAAAAGGATATATGATCAGCTTTCCAGTACTTTAAGATTTTGCCCAAGATGTTTGGCAACACTGAAACCTTTATGTAATGATAGATTATCAAACATAAACTTTATTACTTATTTTAAGTGACTTACCTACAGTGTTTGATTTTGTTAAAAAATGATGAAGCTCAGTTATTTTTAAAGGTCTAAATCAGATCATTCAGTTCACACGTTACTGTGATTTAAACCAGTCTACAGGTCACACAAAACATTTTTCAACTCTCACTACGAAGATTTAATTAGGAACCCTAAGTCCCGATGACAGGTGCACTAGTGATGAGAGCAGAGACTGGTCCGTTTTTAATAATTTGACCTTTAGGTGATGACACACAGACGTGTAGACAGACTGATGTTAAGCGTAAGATGACGTCCTACCAGTAATGGCGCGGCGCACTTCTCTGGCTGCTTCTTCACGAGCTTCGACTGAGGCCTGCTCGCTGTACCAGGACGTGTGAGGGGTACAGATCAGGTTGGGTGCGTCCTTCAGGGGCCCGGTTGAAAAACTGTGGAGATGAAGGGGTTAAGATTGTTTTGAAGTGGAGAGACTCAGATCCTGTGTCATGTCCGTCTGTAAACATTTTGTCAGCTTTTGTGGCCAAAAAACATCAAGTTTACCTGAAGGGCTCGGTCTCATGGACGTCCAGGGCGGCCCCTCGTATCCGGCCCTCCTTCAGGGCCTGAGCTAGTGCTTTCTCATCAACAAGTCCGCCTCTTGATGTGTTCACCAGAAACGCTCCCTGGCGCATCTGTGTTAATACCATAAATATTTAACGATAAGACGCTTATTTTAACAACGCTGTGTTTACAGAATATGGATGCTACATGTTAGCATGTGTGGATAGATTCTGAAGTTGTGCCATCAGCGCTGACTAAAACTTTATCTCCCACACTTGTTTCGTACAGAGATCTTCCTGCCTACTCAGAGGCAGAACTGCACTTCTGTAAAAGGGACTGACTGAACGTAGAGGTGAGAAACAAACTCAAATATCGATCCTATCATGCTAATATCAAAATGGTCTGACATGTTGGTATACCACAATTACAACTGTTTGTCTATTATCAGACAACCAGGTCATGACAAGTAGTGTTTTTAAATGGATCCATGATTAGTTGCAACAGACTATTTAATGAACATATATTTTAACTGTAAAATAAAGACTTTAAAAATACTGTAGGGTGTTAAGTTTTTATAATCTTTAAACTGAAAGTTTAAAAATATATTACACGGACAGGGCCATTTTATTTACACACAAAGCATTCTGGGTAAATGATGACATGGATAGGTCATCAGCACGAGGCTGCTAGCGAGCTATATCCACCCTGAAGGTTAATCTTGGACAATATCTGATGATCGACTCTTTTAAATGAAACCAGAGAGCGTTGACAGAGAGGAGAAGGTAGAAATGACTCAGCCTGTAACTGAAAATATYGATGGAYGACAACAGAGCTGCTTCATGGAAGAAGAACCTCAGCTTAGCCTGTTAGCTTTAGCATTAGCCCCGATGCTATCACCATTTAATGGACTGTACTTATTTAGCGTCTTTCTATCCATCCAGGACACAAAGCTTGTCACACTACAATCTGTGTCCTCATTTACCCATTCACACAGCACTCTGTTAGGTCTCTACAAAGCTGTACAATCATCTATGGAGACTAATCAGTGCCAATCACATTCATARACTGATGGGACACACATCAGAGGCATAAAGCTAGATTTATACTCGATGCAACGCGCAGTGTACGCACGCCAAAAGTGATGCAATATTGCGGTCCCCGCCCCTGCGCTTTGGCTCCGTGCGTCGTTTTGGCGCGTATCGTGCACCTCCGATTTTCTGAAACACCACAAAGGCTAGTGCGCGCGCTGCTGACGACGCTAAGCTGTTCACGGATACCAGCATTTACATGAGAGATCATAAAGATGTTCAAATGGCACAGAATGTTTGGAAGGAGATTGCTGAAGTGATGCAGAAAGATGAATCTGTGTGTAGAAAGGCTTGGAAAAATGAATTGCATGTTCTAGTAATGTATTAAGTAAATTTACTCATCTGAAAAATAAACCTAAAGAATGTCTTAGAATTAGTCTTTTGATCATTACTTATAAAAACTTGATTTTTAATAACAAATAAAAGAACAGCACTTTGCCGTGCACCGCAGCACGTCAACTATAAACACAGCGGCAAAACTGTAAATGCAGTGCGCGCGCACTCCAACCAGCGGACCAAAARGAAAGTACAGTATATCTCGGGATTTGGGGTGAAGRGTCTTGCACAAGGACATAACAACTGAGACAGCTGGATGGGGGATCAAACCGGCGACCTTCCGGTTCCAGGACGACTCCCCTAACCACTCGGCCACAGCCGCCTTATGTATGCATTAGCTCAGTGCTACACATTCTCCTCTCGTCACTGAGGTCCTCCATCCACATGACAGAGAGGGGAACACAAAAATGACTCAGCCTGCAACTGAAAATATAGATGGAGGACCTCAGTTTAGCTTTTTAGCTTGTCGTGCTAGCACTGAGCTAATACATATAAGGCAATATAGCCTATATCACTAGCGCAAAGGCTAACAGGCTAAGCTGAGGTTCTTCTTCCATGAAGCAGCTCTGTTGTCCTCCATCCATATTTTCAGTTACAGGCTGAGTCATTTTTGTGTTCCCCTCTCTGTCATGTGGATGGAGGACCTCAGT